CAGTCCAAAAGAGGCAAGAAACACATGTGTAACATCCTAGGAATAAACAAACCGTAATTTGTATATAATTTATTGTATGAAAATCATATTCAAATCAGTGTCAACAATGAAGTAACATTCTCATCAATTTTTCTGTGGGAGCCCAGCGAATCCATTAGCTTTCACGGGCCATCATAGGTACTTGTGGTGGCACCATAGGTGTTTGTGGTGGTATCATCATGTGAGGTGGTAGAACATTGAACCCTGTCATCATTTGAGGCATGCCACCACCATGTCTCATCATGTGAGGAGGTATTTGAGGAGGCCCTGTCAACATGGGATGCATTAGACCGCCGGGATGCATCAACATAGGATGTATTGGGTGAACAGGAACCATCGCTGTAAAAAAAGAATACTATTAGTATGAAAAAGTTAAAATTATTCAGTAAAAAATCAATAAATAAAGATTATATACTAATGACTGACATTGAAAATTGAAATAAAACTTCATTCATTCTGAAAAATATCTAGGTGATGGATAGGATATAAATAGAAACTGTCTTACCTCCTATTGGTGCGAACGGGTTCGTTGCCTTTTGACTGGCTCTGAAAGCAGCGGTTGTAGCATCAATCATTCTCTGGGTTTCATCATCCATTAGCTTCTGATAAAAATGTTTCACGTTATCTATGTGTTTTCTGCCAGTAATGTGTGTTTTTCTCACAGTAGGGGAATCATGCGTTAGGTATGTATCACAGTAATCACAAAAGTATTTTGGCATTTTACAACCTTGATCTCTAAATCACGAATTCTTTAACGAAATTATCACCGCCTCACCTAGCACTTCGCTGTACCATACTGATGACAGCTAATGACCTAGAATCACGTTCCTGCGTACTAAATCATCATCTATATCGAATATACCATACTGATGACAGCTAATGACCTAGAATCACGTTCCTGCGTACTAAATCATCATCTAGAATGTTTACAGATCTTAATTAACCGATGAGCATCTTAAACCTCTTTTGATAATTGGTACAAGTAAAACTGATCCACAACTACAAAGTATTGTCGGTGGAAAATCACAATTACATAAATATCATTAGTGTTTTTTTTTACTGGGATTCATTTCAATTATTTGTTAGTTATTAATATGTTTAAACTTAGATACTTAAGTTAAGTTTTCTTTGTCATCATTTCTGTCGTTAAGTTTTACCTTGCAAGTAAATAAACCCGAGTAATCATCATTCTGTGTTTTCTTCTTCAATTCATCACAGCAATAGTAACAACAATTATGTAATCATTGGCTGTCGCGGGCCATATTGATGACAGTAAATCATTGGCTGTCGCGGGCCGGATTGATGACACTGGCGGGCCGGATTTGGTCTGCGGGCCGTAGTTTGGAGACCCCTTACCTAGAATCCCGTTTCTGTGTACTAAATTATTATCTATATCGAATATTGGATCCAGATGTCACCCAGGTAGCTAAAGCTGTCTCATGATGACTTCAGTCACCATGAGTCACCATGATGACTTCAGTCACCATGAGACAGCTTTAGCTACCGAGATGATCTGCCCGAAACCACAAAGTGAGACTGGCTTCTGTTGATGACTCCGTGCATTTGTGTTGTTCCTGCAACTAACTGTTGCCTAACCTTGCACTTGGCTATACCATACTGATGACAACTAATGACCTAGAATCACGTGTCTGCATACTAAATTATTATTAATAAAAACTACTGGATCTGGATGTCACGCAGGTAGCTAAAGCTGCCTCGTGATGACTAGATCTAGCAATAATTCTAACAACTGCGTATGATTGACCGTGTCGAAGGCTTTTGCAAAATCTAAAAATATACATAGGGATGAATGGCCTTTATCCAAATCTTCATAGATTATGGTTGTAACTAAGTGGATTGCATCTTCCGTAGATATACCATCTCGGAACCCAAATTGTCTATTTGAAATCAAATTATATTTTTCTAATTTTTTCTAGTATTTTTGCTGAATACTGATAGGAGAAATTGGGCGACAGTAGCTGGGTTCTTTTTACAGCCTCCTTTAAAGAGAGGCTGGATAATACCTTCTTTGAAAATTGATGAAAAATGACCTAATTAATACTTTATTTATCAGTTGTGCCTGCGGACTTGCGACTTCATTCTGCGATTTCCTTCAGTGTNTGAAAATTGATGGAAAATGACCCTCTATTAATACTTTATTTATCAGTTGTGTCAGCGGACTTGCGATTTCATTTTTGATTTCCTTCAGTGTTTCTGATTTGATTTCATCAATTCCTGGTGCTTTGTTGGATTTGAGGGAATCGATGGATTTATAACTTCCTTTTCATCTGTTGGATAAAAAAACATAGAATGACGGGAAGAATATCTACTCAGAGCAGGATTTCCTGGAAATATTACCTGCCTAGCCAGATTTTCACCGACATTCATATAATAATTGTTGAAAATGTTATATCAATGTCGGTGAAAATCTGGCCAGGCAGGTGATATTTTCAGAAAACCCTCCTCCGAGTAGATATTCTTCCAGTCATTCTATGTTTTTTTTTATCCAGCAGATGAAAAGGAAATTATAATAAAAATGAGCATATTAAACAACTTAAAAGTAACATTTGTTCTGGATGTTATGCACTGAGAGTAACTTCAATACATTTGGGAATCAAAACTGCCAGAACGGTGTACTACGCCCTCGTTGAATCCCACCTACGTTATGGAATACCGTTTCGGGGAGTATGCAATTCATCAGCACTTCTGTTTGTATTAGTACTGCAGAAACGGGCTATCAGGTATATGTGTAAAATTAAACCTCGTGAATCATGCAGACACAAATTCGCTGAACAAAAGATTTAAACAGTGATTGATGTCCCTATTTGAGGCTTCATGCTATTCTTATAGCACCCGTTCTACCGCGTTGAAATTGTCAATTCCTTTAACAAATTTGGTCAGGAATTCTATTTATTACAATGGGATCAAGATGTTTAATCACTTGAAATTCATTCAACTAATTGAAAAAACCAGACATCACCAGAAGATGGCAAATGAGACTTTGCCGAAACGTTGTGAAAATAATCCTTATGGGGAGAAAATACACAGCACACGGAGCGAAACCCGAGAAAACAGCTCATCATATATATATATATATGTTATATCGATCTGGAGTCATCCCTACAACGGCATCAGCTACATTTGATCATCTACAATTCGATAACCTCTTTGACATATATATTGATTGACATCCTCAATCCACCATCTACTTCACATTGTAAAAAGTTCCGAACACCATCTACTGATGATGGTTGGCGTTCGGAACTAGACTGATTTTAATTGAATCTCATTCTTACTAGGTATATGTGGTATAGGTTTTGATGTTTACCTGAGTTTCTTCTTCTTGTTTGACCTTTTCTCCTCGTAAAGGTTTAAAATGTTCACTCGAAGATTCTAAAGGATAAAGTATGATAAACTGTTTTTTTTTGGGGTTCTGATGCGCGTTCTGTGTTTTGGTCCTCACCCGACGTTTCCGCAAAATCTCATTTGCCATCTACTGGTGACATTCTAAACCTTTACGGGGAGAGAACATCGATATAATCTTAATCGTCGGCGGGAGAAAAGGTCAAATTAGAAGAAAAAACGTAGTTGAACATGAACACCTATACCTATTAAGTAAGAATGAGATTCGAGTAAAATCTAAAATTAGTCTAGTTCTGAACGCCTAACCTAGACGGTACGGTATCATAAAATCGGGCTCCTAACTACCATTCTTCGAATACCTACCCATCTCTATTTCCAGTTGACCACGGCACACCAGCCCGGAATTTGTTTTTTTATCGTGACGTGACAGCGTATGTTCTTATATTAGTAAGAAAGAAGTTATTTAATTGGTCGGGATCAATGGTATGCGAGCAAGAACATTATTGATGTGACCTATAGAGTGCTCTGAAGCACCGCCAGGGACCCGATTTTGTTCATCATCTTTATTAATGATCTGTTATCACTTGGTATCCGGGCAACTATCACAGCTCGCGGCGATCACCTTCGGAGAAAATTCGTGGGATGTCATCTCTTCTGCCAAAAAATGGTTTGATGTGCTTCAACAAATGACTATAATTATTTCCCATGTTTGAATATCAACAAAACTATAATATCTATCAGGTGTGTTCAAAACTCAAAGTATCTGGGTATCAATCGTCGTGCAGGGGGGACGTTAAAATACTGCTTACGGGTAAGGTGTTACCCGTGTCCCAAATGACGCCTTATCCTAGGGTGTGTGTATCTGTTTCGAAACAATGTTTGACTCAGAAAGCTCCGACTTGGACTAGACACGGAGGCTCTGAGTCTTGTCAGTGTTACTAAAGGTACCTTCGAAATACAGGTCTTCTCTTCACGTAGAAAACCTTCTTGCGGTAATTCGGGGCCTTGGCGTGATGGATCTTCTTTCTCTAGCTTCTCATGAGATCGCTATGCCGCTATGAAGGCTTCAATTCTTGAGTCATGGATCCATGTAACCACTAGAAAGTGACGTCAAAATGACGTAATTTGACATTCTAGGGCATGTATTGATAATTGCAGATATGAATATGAAGTCACTTTCTATGGGAAATAACTTCCTCTGACTCAAGAATTGATGTGTTTTCTGGCGTTTAATCGTATTCGAACGTGTATTCAATAACGATTCGTAGTGACGTCATTAATAATAAGATTCGCCGGAATAAAATGATTCAATTTATGTGAGATGTCAAATTCAATAATGAAAACAAACTCTTTAATTTTCTCTAACCTCAATTGAAATCGAATTTGTGCATATAGCTTTATTTTATACATCCTTACAACGCATTTCTTAAAATGTTTTATAATCTATAACGATCAAAGTGAAGCAGAAACTGACAACTGACGTAACGCAACGTCAAATTCTGTTTTATTCTGAGATTCGTACCATTGCCACAGAACACCCTAACTAGTTAGGGTAGTAGCACAGTATCTGTGGTAGTAGTTAGTTAGTAGTTAGGGTGTTCTGTGCCATCGTACCGTACCCCATAAAAAAATTTGTCAAAAACGTCAAAGTTTTAGGTTAATTTTCTGACCCACTAGGAAAATTAATTTTTTTGAATGTTAATTCAAAACGAAAATTCAAAGTAATTTTTGATAATTTTCTTATGAAATGTCTGACGAAGAAGAAAATGTAGAAGACAAACCCTTTGCTGCTGAAATAGCAAAACAGGGTAGAGCAGTGTGTAAAATATGTAAACAGAAATGTCTTCAAGGAGAATTGAGGATAGCAAAGTTGGTTCACAACCCATTCGGATCAGGAAAAATGAAAGCTTGGCATCATCTAAATTGCCTTTTTGAAGCCTTTCTTAAACAGCGACAAACTACAAAGCGAATAGAGGAGCCTGAAGATATTGATGGTTGGGACAAACTTTGTGAAGATGACCAGAATATTATTATCGATAAAATTAAAGAATGTGACAAGGCATTCCAAAATAAATTTGGTACCAAACCTAACAAATCACCTACTAAAAAAAAATCACCCCAAGTGACCCAACAAAGTCCTAAACAAAAAAAAAATTTGGACAAGGTCGATAAAAAAAATGAATCACCTGGCACAACTGACTCTGCCAATAGTTCACCTACAGAGAAAACTTCAAAAGATCAACTTTTCAAGCAGTTCAGACGTTTGGTAGCTGATATTACCAATACCAGTAGTTATATAGACAAAACAAATTGTGTAAAAAAAATATTTACAGAAGGATCTGATGGATCTGGCTTCAAAGACAACATTGTTCTTTGGTGTCGATTACTACTTCCAGGTGTTGTCAAAAGGGTATATAATCTCCAAAGCAAGCAGCTAATAAAATTGTTCAGTAAAATATTCGTTCAGGATCAAAATGAAATGTTAGAACATCTAGAACAGGGTGATATTGGTGAAACAATCCAGAACTACTTCGAAGATAGTCACAAAACTAAACCTGCAAAGAAAAGTTTATTGAAAGTTAAAGAAGTAGACAATTTCCTTAACAAACTCTCCAAGTTGACCAAAGAAGATGATCAAATGGAACATTTTAGGTCATTTGTACCAAAATGTACTTCTAATGACCTGAAAACCGTTATACGTTTAATTAAAGGTAAATGATAATAGTCTTTATTTGAAGTAGGAAACTCTAATATACAAATATTTTTAAATACAGTTTATTCACAAAAACTACATTTCATAATGTCTATTGGTAATGTCTATTGATGGATCAATTCAACAAGATGATACAAAATTTTTGAGCTCGACACTGGCAGAAAATCTCAGATGGAACAAGCATGTGGATATGATATGTAGAAAATAGCTACAATATATTGCACTTAACAACTATGCTGGAATGTTACAAATCACCATCATTAACTTATTATTATGCAAACCTTTATAGTATCATTTCTTGCGCAATTTAACATGGAGAGCATCTAGTGCTCATTCTAGAAAAACGAAAATTCAATAAGGAATCAAAAGGAATATAGCTGGGAACGGAAGGACAAGCTGTAAACTCATCTTCCAAAATGTCAGAATTTTGACCCTTACAAGTAAATACATTTATTAGATATTGAAATATGTAAAATCACATTTCGAGTTTTAATTGAAAGGAGTAAATTTTTCAGAGAGATTAATTCTTGGGAAAGAAAGGTTTTGGCTTCTATTTCTGGAAAAAAAAACCTTGTCTGGCTATCTATGGTGCCATCAGTACCACACCGTCAGTGGCCATGGAGATCCTTCTAGATCTACTTCCTCTCCATATTTTTCTGGAGAGAGAGGCTAGATGGAGTACATATAGATTTGTGCACATCACCAATTGTACAAACCAATCTTCCAGGTTCTGGTACAAGTGTTTTCAGTTGCAGACCTAGGACAGATATATCAACCTGCCTAGGGACCTATGTGACTGTATTTCAAGGGGAAATCTATGCGACTGAATTGTGTGCGGAGAGATTGGTACAATCCAACCCTCACCCACAAGTCAATACAAATTTTCTCGGATAGTCAAGCGGTGTTGAGAGCTCTTGGCTCCTACCGAGCAATGTCTAAATTGGTAGCAAATTGCCAAAAACGACTCTCCTCAATAGGAAGACTTAACAAATTGTCTCTGATCTGGATTCCTGGCCACACTGGCCTGGAAGGCAATGAGGCTACTGACTCCTTTGCAAAGGAGAGTGCTGCAAGCAGCTTCATCGGACTAGAACCTGTCTTTGACATCACTTTAGGTTTTGTCAAACAAATACTGAACACCTGAATGGCAAGAAGATTTAAAGACTTCTGACAAAATCTTCGAGGATTGGCTCACTCCAAGGCGTTCATTCACCCTTTGAAGTTTGAAACCAAACAGCTGTTGGACTACAGTAGGGATGAACTACGATTTCTAACAGGCCTTCTCACAGGCCACTGTCGTCTGAATCTTCATATGTAGAGACTCCGACTGTCGGAAGACAGTTTGTGTCGCCTCTGTTTGGAAAATGATGAAGCAGCAGACCATATACTTTGTTCCTGCCCCCCTGTGGACCGAATCAGGTTTTCTGAGTTTACCATCTGACCTGAAAGGTCATTCACCATATACACTAATTGGCTAATTGAACCAGATATCATTTACAGGATTTCTACACAGAGTAGTATATGAAAGAGGGAAAATTTCACTTACATGGAACACTGCCATCCTCAATGGTGGACATTCAATGTTTCAGACACTTGCCTTATTGAGAAGTAGAAAATCAAAACCTTTCTTTCTCAAAAATCTCGTATCAGTTTTCCTAGTCTTAATGATAACTATAATTTCACTGGAAATTCCCTACAATTGAAAGTGCTAACACATATATTAGTAGTATCTGAAGCATGCTCCCAGTTTATGGCCATTAAATTGAACAAACAGTAAACTAGCATCAAGTACAGTAAAATAAATCTCCAAAATAGTACAATTATCAAGTGAAAGAGTTGCTCCTATTCTATTCTTTATGAATATATGAATGACAATCTACAATCCTGTACATATGCAACATTTGAGGCATGTTTATTTTTTTTTATAAAATCTTCCTCCAAGCTGGCAGCTTCATCTTGAAAATAGTTTTAAGCCCTTTTCAGACTTCTTATGTGTAGACATTGTTTTCTTTACTGTCATTAACATATTAATTTCTTGTAGGTGATTCTCTATATCTTCCCAGTCAGCATCTAGTTTTTCTATTCCATTAAAATTTTCAGCAATATCCTTCTTAAGTTTAATTATTGTCTTCCCTTTTTTAAGTAGGTCTTCACCTTGTTTATTATTACACATTCTTTGGAGCATAGTATTTTTGGACCCCCCATTGTAATGTGTTTCATCCTGTCCACACAGATATAGTGAAACGTGCTAAAGTTTTTTACACAACCAAAATTTAGGCATTCTTTGCCATAACAACATTTGGAACGAATCCTGAGTTTTTGTCAGAGTTCATATCAACGAGATAATTTTTGAATTTTGAAATTTTCTGCCGTAGAAATTGGGCTACTCTTAAGAGTAGTCAGACTTGTTCCATGGACAATCCTCTTGATAGAATTTCATCTCTTGTTTTTTTTGCGTCCGAGTTTACTTTTTATGAAGGTGGTGAATAATTGATCGTAATACACTATTTTGGAGTCTGCAGATGATTTTGTTGCACTAAATTTGATAATGGGTTTATTGAGAAATAAGTACAAATAACGATTTTAATGACATAATTTTATCAAATATCTGGAGAAAAACTACTCAACCACACAGTTTATTCTATCACTTACTAACATAATATTATATTATGAAGTATCGTCTGCAAATACATTAATAAAAAATTTATCGTCAGGTGATTTACGAATGGGAGCTGGGGCCAAACACATCCTCGATGGAGTACACACGGATGCTTATGAGGCCTATCAAACATCCAGAGATTTAGAGACTGTTATAACAAAATGTTTAGGTGAACAAGCGAGTCAAAAAAAAAAGAAGAATGTTGGAGTTACGGTGATGACCCCAGTGCTGCCTATGTTGGCAGAGGCTTGTAAGTCTGTGGAGCAAGCAATGAAGAAGTGCCCTAACGGAATGTACTCAGAAATTAAGTATGATGGGGAACGAGTTCAAGTACACAAGCAAGGCTCAGAATTCAAATATTATTCCAGGGCACTGAAGCCTGTAATGCCTCACAAAATTCAACATTTCAAAGATTACATTCCCAAAGCTTTTCCACATGCAAAAGATCTCATTTTGGACAGTGAAATACTGATGATGGATACAGAAACTGGAAAGCCTCTGCCTTTCGGCACCCTAGGCGTGCATAAAAAAGCAGAGTTCAAAAATGCTAGTGTCTGTTTATTTGTGTTTGATTGCATTTACTACAATGGAGAAAGCCTGATTCAAAAACCAATCAAACAAAGGAGAAAGATACTGCAGGAAAATATGAAAGAAATACCAAACCATATTGTTTTTTCCGAAATGGAGGAGATTCATAAACCTGAGGATCTTTCGAGAATGATAGCTAAAGTCCTGAAACTAGGATTGGAAGGTTTAGTTTTGAAAGATATCCAAAGCATTTATGAACCTGGTAAAAGGCACTGGTTGAAAGTGAAAAAGGATTATCTTTTCGGTGGTGCAATGGCAGATAGTGCAGATTTGATGGTCCTCGGAGCTTGGTATGGTACTGGCAAAAAAGGAGGGATGATGTCCGTTTTTCTTATGGGCTGTTTCAATCCTGAAAGCGGAAAATTTTGTACTGTAACTAAAGTGCACACTGGTCATGACGATAAAACACTGGAAAAACTGCAGGATGAACTTGACATGGTGAAAATCAGTCAAGACAGTTCCAAAGTTCCGAATTGGTTGAGCTGTACAAAAACCATGATTCCCGATTTTGTTGCACGGGATCCCAAGAAACAGCCAGTTTGGGAGATAACAGGAGCAGAATTTACTCAGCATGATGTACATACTGCAGATGGAATTTCTATCAGATTTCCGAGGGTGACAAGGATAAGAGATGATAAAAACTGGGAAACGGCTACAAATCTTCCTCAATTACAAAAGCTTTTTAAGACATCTAAAGAACAAACCGATGTTAGCTTACTAATGAAGGGAATCGATAATGCTGAGAGGAATGACAAAGAAGAAAATTTACAAAAGTGCGAGAGTCCGCCAAAAAAGAGAAAAAAAGAAAAACAAGTTAATTTTGATGATGGTGATGATGAGTCACCTTCAACATCAAAGAAGAAGAAGAAGAAAACTAACGATTCTGATAGACTCAACTCAATAGTAGATGAAAAACAGAATGATAACATTGAATTTAGTAACAAACCTAAAAAAAGGTCACCGAAAGCAAGTGAAAAAATGAAGAAAGAAAGTAGCATTGATATTGCAAACCCTATTCCAGATTACTTCACAGGTATCAAAGCACTGTTGGAGGATAATCTTAAGAGAGACGAATACTCGGATGTGGCAAGGTAAGAAAATCACATCTTGGAAACATGCAAGGTTATTTAATTCTTAAAATATCTAAACTCTGCAGATCAAAAACATTAGTAACTTAACAGTCCAAGATTTGTGTTATTACATTTAAGGTTGCCAAAAGAATGTGGTAAGCTAGCACATATAATTTTACATGAAGACCTGAAAAATAATAACCAAGTTTATAACAAAAATAACAATATTTTGCAGAGTTACTTGGAACAGGAAGGATAAAATGTTATAAAAACAGTTATCTATGCATAATGTGTGATTGAAGTATCATAAGTATAAGATAGAAATCATTTGAAAATTCTTATAATACACTTCTGTTAAAGGCGTTGAAATGTTTCACTGAGATATTTTCTACTATAGTAATTTGATATTAACGACATGTGATGAGAAATGGTCAAGAATTTTTTGTTTCTTGTATTAAATGATTCAAGAATTAGGTTATTTATTCAGATTTGCTTTGCAAAATTAGGAACTGACTTTTTTGTTATCTACTTGCCTTGTAGAAATAATTGTAGCCTATTATTTTTAAAGTATCCATAAGCCTATCAATAGAAGTGTTGAAAATGGAAAATTTAAAATAATATTTTTTTATTGGGAAAGATAGGTTTTGGTTTTCTTCCTCTCCATCTTTATCCAAAAAAAATGTGGGAATCTTCCAAAGCCATAACCTTTGTTTTTATCTCTCCTAACAATATATCCGTTATCCCATTATATATACCACTGACTAGTTAGGAAATGAGTGAAACAATATTTGGGTGTGCAGCAGGCCAAAACAGTGTGCTCTTAAACACAGATTCCAAGCTTTCGATAATCTTTATTATCCTCATTAGGGATACTACAATATAAAAAAGAGAACAGATTAGATATGTTAAAAGAGATTAGTCAAAACACAACTTACAGTGTATGTGAGGTTAGGCGGCAGGATGATTTAAATGTGGACACAACATATTTATATAGGTGTAGAGACCAAAAAAATAATTTCGGGAAGTTAAAGACAAACACAATTAATTTACATCATAAATGATATATAATTTAAAAATTTATATATCATTTATGATAACTTCCTTTGTAATGTTTGTAACGGAAGAATCAATTCGTTTTGAAATTGAATTACTCAATAGATTCATATCTTACTGAAGTTCAAAGTAGCTATCAAAGTATGTTACTGTAATAAATATTTGAGAACAATCCACAATTCTAGCTGGCTGTTTTGCTGGCTCATTCCTGCATCTCCTATGTCTTAGCCTTGATAACGCTTCAAATTCACTTATCACTTGTAGTGCGGTTTCTGCTTCCTCCTGACATAACCTGCATGAAGTTACTTCCGCCAGTTGGTTGTGATTTAGCAGGTCTTCCGTGAATTTGGGCTAGGGTTCCTTTATGAACTTTTTTGCCAGCCTCATGTCTGAAAGCTTTTTCCACCAATTAAGCGATTTCGCTTTCATCCACGAATTGATAGATGTCTTGTTGTTTGTCTTTGCCAGCCCACAGAAGGGTTCTGGGCCTATCATGACCTTGGATACAGCTTCGCATCCAGTTATCCAGGCTAGAGAAACCCTATTGTGAAAACCTAGTTCATTGAGTTGTGAAATATAACTGTTCTTCCATTTATCCAAAAAGTCTTCAGTTGCTAATGAAGGTTCGGTCTGAAACTGCGGCATTAATTGTAAACACTGTTAATGTCGTTTCGAGAGGAAGAGGGTGAGTTAATTTTTCGGAAATAATTTTTGAGCATTTGGAATGTATGTAGTAGTAGTATGTATCTTATTGAAAAAAAGGAAACGAAATTGACTTGCCCTTTCTCTGCTGTTTCAATACCTTAATATTTTGATGTAAGGAATCATTAAATTTTTAAGCAGTGTTCACTGTTTTTTAGTTTTTACTCCATTTCAAAACTTTCGCCATTATTGCAGCAAATAATTAGTGTACTAATGAAGTCCTTATACAATTACCTCATCAATAAAGTTTTGTTTATTATGGGTACTGAGTTATTTTGAGTAAATAACAAAAGTTTTATCTGACACTGTCATCAGCTTTTAAATAATTTGAGTATTGGTCAGGATATCTTTAAAATACTTTATGGTGTTGAGGAGTATTGCTCAAATATTTCGTATATGCAGGCTCCAAAGCAGATCTTTGAAAAGTATTTTGGTTTTATTTCATCTCACTAATCGAAGAGTTTGTTACAGGTATATCACTACCTATGGTGGTATAGTACTTTCGGAGGATCAATGGAAGGAAGCCTCCCATGTGATACATTACCACAACATCATTCGAGAACCAGATATAAAATGTCCCTACAGTGCAAAACATTTAGCCTATGAATGGGTGAAGGATTCTGTTGCACAGGGAACTTTATGTGACTACAGATTGTATACAGTGCAGTGGGATCCTGAAGCTTGAGAGCAAGATGGCGATTTTTTATTGAGATGCCTTGAATAAGTGTCTTATAATCCTGTTAGGTTTTATTATCAATTTTTTAAAACATAATCTATTTCTCTTTTTTTAAACTAGAAGAAAATTGAGAAGAAGGTTATTGGCACTTTGCTGAGCATTGTGAAATTTTGTTATATTTTTTATATCTTATGTTGAAAGAATGTCTTATTTTTTGTCATTTTTGCCTCTTTTAATGAACATTGGAAAATACTCACATCATAAATTTAAATCATTTGAAATGCTAATTTCTCGAGAATAAGACATTCTTTTCACAATGCCTCATCCATATTTCATTTTATATAAATCATGATCATTATCTTCATAATCATTTTAAAATTGATGTACATTTTAGGTAATTGTTACATTTCAAAATATGAGTTTTTTCAATTTATAAAAAGGAATGAACTCATAAGGTAATTTTACAACCAAAGTACTTTTATAACCTTTATACCATTGTTTATTTTTATTTATTTTTCATAGGTTTTTCATAGGGTTTTCTGAATTGAATGAATATTTAAATCCAGCTATTTAATGAATATATAATTCATCAACCAACCATTTTCAAATAAATATTTATAAATGAAACAGGTCGTTTTTTACCAATCTAATAATCTTAAAGGCAAAGCATTTTTTTTATTGCTTCACCCAATCAAAAAAAAACAAACTCTATGTTTGAAAAACCTAATGAGAATCATAATGATTATGGGTCAAGAGATATAATATCTCTGTTCAAAGCATTCTACAAATGGACTCTGAACAAAAAATCAGTATAAATTTGGCCAGCGAATTTTCTCATCAAGAACGTAACAATGGGACCTCTACAACATTTCTCATGAAAGACCCTGCAGGAAAAGTGAATCATGCTGTAAAGTTGGGAAAATTATTGTCAATGAGATGAGGTTCCTCTCAGTGTTTCATTTTGTGTAGACTGGGCTTTTAACAATGATATATTTGACAAATCATGAAGATTTCAATATAGATGTTATTTTTGCACAATGCGGTTGATTAATTCATAAAATTGATGGATGTAGTCACTACGCGGTAAGAAATCATCATGAAAAATGAGAATTGAAAGTTTCTATGTTTTTTACCACTTTTATTTGTAACAAACTCATACATTAAACGTTTAATGAATGTATAAGTTTGAAAATGTCCTTATAGGACGAAACTACTGCAGTAACGTTAGTTACAACTAAAAGTGGAAAAATACATAGAAAGTTCGATTTTTTTTGTATGGCAACAAAATCTTTATCAAAACCAATGGTTAAAAAAACTTCAAGATAAAATTATATATTGTATAATAATGAGTGCATACTCAATTAAAATACAAGGAGCATACAATTAACTTGTGTAAACCAAAAAAACAGATGTATCATCCTTACATAAATTCGAATTGTGAACCTTCATTCATTTGATCAAAAATGAACTCAAACTTTTAAAGTTTGAGTTCATAGTGATCAACACATCCATTCGACAAGATATTCAAACAATCTGAAAGTAATGAAAATGAAAACAAATATTGTGCTAAATTCGATTTACAATAAATGTATCGGGATAAAAAGAGAAATGAAAATTTCTATGTTTTTTACCACTTTTAATTGTGAATAACGTTACTGCAGTTTCGTCCTATATACCTAGACATTCTCAAACTAATACAATGAACTAACAATGATTCATTACATTCGCCAATATATACCATTTGCGAATGTAATGAATCATTTTTAGTTTGTTGTATTAGTTTGAGAATGTCCATATAGGACGAAACTGCAGTAGCGTTAGTTACAAATAAAAGTGGTAGAAAACATGGAAATTTTCATTTCTCTTTCCATTATGATCTCCTACCACGTAGTAACGGCTACATCCATCAATTTATCAAATGTATCGGGTTTTACAATGAGCTACAAAAATACTTTAAAAAAAAATTTCATCAAAGAAAAACTCCGATTTAATTTGAAAAAATATTTATCGAATGAAAATTCTTCATAAGTATGTGTATAAATATGTTTGTGTGAAGGGAACAATTCACGATGGCGGACAAAACAGTGTGTCTGTTACCTGCTTCTGAAGAAAGTGAACATTCAAAAAGTGGTAAACAAGGTAAAGTGTATCAAATGTAGTGAACATTTCCATCCAAAGTGTTGGCGAGCAAAAAAAAAACAGAATGAATAAACAATCTGATGAAGTTTTTTATTCAACGGATGAAGATTACCTGAGAGACGAAAATAACCTACTTAGACACATTTCGGCCGAAAAAAATTATTCATTGCCGAAAAGGATCTCTACAAGAGAAAATCAAATTTCTGGAAGATAAACTAATGATATTGAATTGAGAGCTTACTCAATAAAACATCAAAGTAGTAACCCAACAGAAAACACAGGTAATGCTGATAAGGAGAGAATCACGAATGCAAGTAATAAAAAGTAAGACACAATAAATTCTAAACAACATGGGGTATGTTAACAAGCCTCTCTGACTAATATTCAAGTTACATGTATTTATTTGATACCTGATTCTCCTATTGAGGCAAGAGGAATTTTTTATAGCGATGATTTTATAAATTGGAATGAGTGAATGGAATTTTCATCTGTTGTTTATATTGACCGTTCGATTAGTGGAAGTTAATGAGTTATCCTTCGTCTTATCGACGAACACCAAATATTAATCTGGGGCAGTGATACTGAACTTTTTAAATTTTATTTTGGTTTTGTGCTATAACATTATGTATATAAGTACATTCGTTATCTCATAAAACTTTGTAATATGTCATAATTCTGTTTAAATCTGTTTCTCCGTTAACTAGCTGTCGCTCCCCTACGAACGACAACCCTCAGAAATCAAAATTTGTGCGAACTAAGGATTAACGAGGTCTTACTTTTTAACGTGTGATTCCTAACACGGAAATGAGAAATGAGAGAGCTTGTGCAAAACGTGAATTGGACGAATTACTAATAGACAGACGTACCTATTTAAAAAAAAAATTCATTGTGAGATTTTTAACTGAAGTTTTACAAAAACTAGTTACTTTGCCATCTGGTAATACTTGAGGTCAATGTATTTATAATGATCGTAAATTAATGGAAATGAAATTTATTATTATTGATATATATTGTAATCGATTTGGGTGTAGTGATGGACAAAAAATGGACTTAGGTAAGTACCTATATAATCATTATATTATAAACAATGCTACAAAAATGCTAGGCTATACTATTAGTCGTACTTCCGGCTAATTCTCGAATATTGAATGGTATTCAGATGCTGTATTTCACTCAGGTAAAGTCAGTCTTAGATTATTGTAGTTTCATTTGGTCGCCCACTCATAAAAGTCATGCAGTTAATATTGAATATAATATTGAATATTTTTGGCGTTTAAGTTAAAAATGCCTTCACGGACATTCATTCATTGGAAGATATTCGTAGGGAGGCAGATATACTGAAGCTAAGTAGTCGTAGAGTTGAAACTGACTTAAAATTCTTATTCCAATTATTAAATTATCTTATCAACTGCCCTGCACTGCTAGCTCATGTTGGCTTACATGTTTTTCCAGAAGTAAAAGGCATACAGAAACATTTGCTATAGATTTCCATCATTTTAAATGTGGCAAACACTCTCCCCTGTCTAGAGTTGCTATTGGTGGTAACAGAGTTGATCTGGACTTCTTCTCATTGAACAAGAGCATTACGCTCTCTCAGATATTGATTATAAATGAAAATAAACAGTAACTTCCTCAATTCTTGAATCTTCTTATCCTCATCGTTAATTTAATCATTATTTCAATTCTCGCATATCAGTAAATTCATTTTGTCACAGTTACTTTTTATCTGTAAGTTAGTTCAACTTTTAGCAAGTAAGTTAGATGTATTCATATAATTTATAATGAAAATCTGTTGAACTTAATAGGGTGTTACCCTTTGATGAATTGAAATTGAAATATTATTGAACAGTCCAATGAGACCCATGAAAAGAATGTGCAAAATTGAAAAATACAGTATCAGTGATTCCCAGAATAAGGAGGTGGCCATTTTATTTATTGTAATTATTGAAAATGTTTTGATTTTTTCAATTATTCTCGGCTTTATTTCAAACATCCATATGATTATAAATGTATCAAATAGGAAGTGAATGGATTATTTGTATACCTTAAAAGTTCAAATTTAGCGCTTTTTTTCTTCAGTGACATCACAAACATGGCGGCCAAGATTTTTGACATTTCGTAACCTTCCAATGGGTATAATCATTGTATATAGACTCTATATACCACAACTATATACAAAGGTATAATTTGTAAGAACTCTGCATATTACAGCGTACTTGTGTACTACATAATTTTGTTTACTAATCAAGGCAAGGAAAATTTGAAAGAAGTGAAGTTTATTATAATTTTTTAGTATTGGTTGATCTGGATTTTGTCATCTTTGAAGTGTATAACATTCAATACTTCCAACTCCAAGAGGATATATTATACCCACCTTAATATGGATAATTTGGAGGTTTATGTGAACGTATCTCCGGCAGAATTTCCATTCATTTGTAGAATTTGTTTATCTAAAGGAGAGTTGAAACCTTTTGAAGACGAACTGTCAGCACTTTTTTCTACTTTAACTAATATCCAGGTAAAGCTTTGAAAACACATTTGTCTAAATGACACTGACAGTAGGTAGAATGAATAAAAAATAATTTTATATTGTCAACATTCACCTGCGATATTATATCTATATATTGTTCAGATTTATTGGGCTTTATGCTTTCTAGAATATGATTATGGAACTTTTAAAACTTTGTGAAAATTAATCAATAAAATATATAGGTGGACTCGTGCACCAGTTTTAAGTTGTGAAATGAAAGTTTTCCATAAGAATTTATGACATGAGCATATATCATTTGTAACAACTGAGGTTCTAACATTATCCATCTGCGAATCATTTACACGTGATCAATCATAAATACACCTCTAGCTTTATAAAAGATGTCCCTAACTGTTTGTAAAAATTTGTCATTTGAGCTTTCAGATATTTGAGTTTTTTTTTTAAATGGAAAGCTTTGAGAAAACTCCTTTTGTGATGGCTGGATTACCTTCTGAGACTGCATTATTTTGACGTTTGTTTTATTGATGCAATGTATTCAGAGAAAATATGAAAATGCAGATGTCATAAGAATTCTTTTTTATTTTTTCTCAAATGAAACCATTTGAAAACCACTTGAGTTTTAATGTTCTGAAATGTGCTTTTGTTTGGCAACTTTCAAATAGGTAGTAATAGTATAGGTGCAGCTAAATAGAAATATTTGATTAATCTAAATCTTTCTTCCTTCAATTTCATCCTCCATTTTTTTTATTGAATTAAGCACCAAATTACGACACCACTTGAAGTACTTTTGTGATGTAAGGTATACGTATTCTTGAGAATTTGAAATGCAAACATTCAATGTTGATGTATGAAGTTTTTCAACTGGGGGTTACTCTAAATAAATAAAGTAAATTAGCTGGATGTGAAGTGTTGCTATTGGGGGCATATACCACCAATATCTTATGAGCCTATGTGGTGAGGTTTATTTCTTTGTGGATTTCTTAACTTGTAGGCCTTGAAAGCCCAATAAGGGCGAAAAAAAAAAAACAAAATTAATATGAAACAATACTACGAGGTATTCTCATAAATTAACAGGAATTTTTGATTTTTCAAAAAAATATTTATTTATGTGTCTACATTATTGTTGTTGCCTTCAAAATGTCCTCATTAGGACTATTTCTTCCAATCCTCGCAACACTTCTCAAACTCGATCTTTGGGATAGCTTTTAGCTCTTTCAGCAATGTGTTTATAATGCTTGAAAAACGATAACCACTTTGAGGTTCTCTTCATTTCTGGAAGTAGGATAAAGACCCATGGAGCCGTATATGATGGATATAGAGGCTGAATAACGTTAAAGTATTGTTTTTAGCCAAAAACTCATCATTAATCAATGAAGTTTGAGCAGGTGCATTAAGAGCATTCGAAAAATTTCATGGCATGAGCCAATCAATATTCCAACTTATCCGAGTGTGATTCGGTGATCGTTCATAACCATTTCTTTCACCTTTTCCACATTTTCATTGGTTGTTGGTGTGCGTCTGGAAAAGCTTATACCTACAACTAGTATACTCTTGTTTTAATCATAGCAGACTCACCATATGCCTTTGTTAACATTTCATCCCATAAGTCACACTGTATATCATTTTTATGCAAAATTCATTCATTTTTTAACAAATGTCTTAATGTCTAACCTACAAGTTTGAATTCATTTCTATTTCGTCAATAAAACAAACTCAGAACAAAAACAAATTGAATACACATGTGCTTACCAATTTCAATATAAAACAATAAATATTAAGAGAATATAGAAATACTCATACATTCTAGTCATAAAATAGTAAAATCTTATGTATGTTTGAGTTTCTTAAGTAAATTTATTGGATGAAGTTGAATATATTTCAACTTTCTCTGTCATCGGAAAACTGCCTTAATCTATAGGCAAAAAATCCAGAAAGACTTTGAAATATTCATTGATAATGAAACCCTGTCCTTGACACTGATAATACTTTCCTATATAGCTACTTGGCGAGAAGCATGACTTTGAATTGATACAAAATTAGACCCCAAGAAGGAAGGGAAAATTATTATATTGAAGCATGGAACCAAGCCTCTTGATGAGAAATGCTTTTTCTAAATAATTAACAACAACATTCACAAAAATGTCCAGTGAAATGCCTCTATTGTTATGAACCAGTAAAAATTTAATCTTTCAAACAACATCATATTTTTTAGCAAATGAAATCTTTTACTAATCAATAACAATAATAACAATGTACCCAAATCTTGAGAAAACCTCAATCATGATCATAATTTTTAAATGCAACAAAAAAATTGAGTGTTGCCTTAATATTTTCATTGGGTTTCAGGTTTTATCTTTCATTTTATTTTAGGGTCAAAGTTAATGTCAGGTCTATAAGAGGTTTTTAATAATAAATAATTAGTAGTAAACTTTATGATTCATCAGCTGTATTCAATACTCCAAAATACAAATTATCATTTAATTTCAATAGACTTTAAAGTTATCTCACTGTTTCACTCATTTTTTGCTTTCTCTTGGATTTGATATTCAAACTGATTTCCAAACTAGTCTGCATTCCGAACCAATCTCACAACTGATATTATTTTCATTATTATAATTTTCCCATGCAATTTGATAACTTGGTTATTTTTTATTTTTTCAGGTTGAATTTGAAGAGAACCTCCCAAATAAAGTATGTCTAAATTGTATCTGTGAACTTCGAGATATTTCTCAGTTTATAGACAAATCAAAATTAAATGATGCTGGGTTACGTAGAATAATTAAAGATGAAAATAAACTTTATGAAGAAGAATGCCAAGAATCAGTTGATAATGATGTTTTTGATGATGATCCTGCCTTTGGTAATGTTAAAATAGAAAACCAGACTGAAGAATCAGAAGGAAATAATACCTCTCTGATATGTGAAAAGGAAGACAGTTTTGATTCAAACATGTCATCTGATAATAAAGAAGCGAATTCTAATTCGGACTCAAAAAAGTTATATTGCTTTCATTGTAAAAAAATGTTTCATAGTAAATATAAGTTGAGGGTACATATGGCAACACATTCAGATGAAGAAAAGTTTGAGTGCAAACTTTGTGGAAAGAAGTTCAAGTTTTCCCAAAACCTAGCCAGGCATACTAATTCGGTGCACAAGAATATGAAGCCTTTTAAATGCGAAATCTGCCAGAAAGGTGAGTTTTGAAATAATTATGTTTGAAATTTGAATTTTTATATGCCAGGTTTCAATGAAAATATTTGTTTCATACACATGTTTCATAAAACAGATTTTAAACTAGAACTGAGGTAACACTTTTCTCTTGGTAAAGGCTCTGTGAAAACTTTTAAACTAATTAGACTCATGTCATTCTGCCTAAAATTAAAAAAAAACATTTAGGGATACATCATGACCATTATAGATATGTTGAAAACACTTTTCCTACACCAGTGTTTTCAATAGATTCTTTTCCACCTGAGGTTCCATATTCTACTTATCAAGTGATCATTATGGGTTAAGCAGTAGTGACAGGTAGCAAGAAGCTTGCATTCACTGAAACAAGTTTTCAAAACAGACATCTACTACATCTTCTGGATCATAATAGACAAAGCTCTGGGTTATGAGAAAGATTTTGTTATTCTAGTTCTAGGAATATACAATAATAAATTGAGGAAACGTATTCAGCTGGATTGAAGAGAACAAAATCTGGACTAGTAGGCTATAGTCAAATGGAACTTGAAGTACTAGGGTTGCCTTTTATATTTTGGGATTAGAGAACAAAAACAAATTAATAATCGAAAATCACTTTATTGCTTTTCAAAATATTCCCCATGAAGATCTATACACTTTTTCATGTGTTTGAACCAATTGTTGAAGCACTTTTGCCACTCTGATTGAGGTATCTCCAAAACATGCATTCTGAATGCAGCAACCTTTTCTTCAGGTGTCCAAAAACGTTGACCTCTCAGTTTGTTTTTTACGTGCGGGAATAAAAGGAAGTCATTTGGTGCCAAGTCATGACTATACGGCGGAGGTCTCATCATATCGATGTTTTGGGTGCTCAAAAATGCAGTTGAGCCGATGTGTGAGAGCTCGCATTGTCGTGGTGAAGAGTGATCTGTGTGAGGCAAACAAATGGTTGTGTACCACTCAGAATTGACTGTTCTGCGTTGTTCTAGTGGTACGGTTGCGACATGTCCAGTTTTTCCGAAAAAACAGGCGACCATTTGCTTGGAAGTGCTTGTTGCACGAACAACTTTTGCTGGATTTGGTTCATTTTGAAACACCCACACAGTCGACTGCTGTTTACTTTCGGGCTCATACGCGTAAATCCACGATTTATCACCTGTCACGATGTCATAGACGTGTTTTGCAGCACCGCGATCGTATTTTTTGAGCATTTTCTTCAACCAATCGACACAAGTCTTTTTTTGAGCGATTGACAAATTGTGTAGGATCCAACGCGAACAAATTTTTTTGACAGTCAAATGTTTATGCAATATTGAATGTATGCTGGTCCCACTAATACCTAAAGTTGTCTCAATCTCACAACTGATTTTGGACGACCTTCACGAAATTCGTTTTGGAGTGAAATACGACCATGATTGAATTCACCATACCATCGATAAACACTGGTCCTTGATGGAGCTTCATCGCCAAAAATTAAATTAAGTTCATCCATGCACTGTTGCTCAGTTAATCCACGTCGAAAATTGTAAAAAATAATCGCACGAAAATGTTGACGATTTAATTCCATTTTTGGGCTGAGATGAATCTTTTAAGTTACTGTAAACAACACAAATAGCGCGCGTATGTCAAAACGTTCTGAGTACGTGTAAGCTCAAAAATGTCCAATTTTACGATAAAGCTGTCAGTTGCCAGATTGCAATACTAGGGTTGCCAAATCCCGAAACATAAAAGGCAACCCTCATACCAGTTGACTGCGAAGATGAAGGTTACATCTTGAACTCTCAGTAACGACTGACTGTCAACATTCGTCTTCACAGTCAGTGCACATATCACTGAAACGTCTGCTGCAGTAGCAGACGAAATGTTTGGTACTCTAGGTTAAATTCAACCACGGTTTCCCAGCCCAGAGTTTCTTCTCAATTGTGACACAGGCCGTGAAAGTAAATGCTCTTATATTGTATTCAGTAGAGCCTGAACGTTATGAAACGGTGGACCGAGGACTATAAGAGCATTCACTGAGATGACCAATATAGCTGGATTAGAACCTAGTAAAATGAGGTGACGAAATACAATAATGAAGTGATGGTAAATATCTGGGAGCCATATTAGAGTCTTTAATGAAACAAAAAATAAAAAGAAAGGAGGAGGTAGCATTGATGCGACAAAATGCATCCAAGGAAAAACATCAGCTGCAAAACCAGATATTATGTATTGGTTTGGTGTGTTACTATCGTCATTCGGGTTTGAAGGCCGTGGTAGTTTGGAACTGCATTTTAACGTTTCGCCAGCACGAGTGGCTGGCTTCTTCATAGGCTTATTCATCTTGATGATTCACCCGAATGAAGATAGTAACACTGAAAATCTCTGCGGTGAATGCCTTAACCAATTTATTGGTTTGGTATTTGAATCCATGATAAAATATGTATCTTTAATTTTTGGCAATAAGAGACACAGGAAACCACTTTTAACTCAACGATCACGCTCACGACCGCAGTTTTTTCCGTTCCACTTGTTTGCGAGCGTTACTGCCGTAAACTCAAGTGGACTGGATTATGGAATGTCTTGGGCGTTCATGTAAACCTTAACAATAAGTTTCAATAATTACAAGCTAACTTTTTTATATTAAAAAATAAGTATGAAATATTAAACAAATTGAGTTCGAATGTGATCAAAATGTCTTATATGGCAACTGGAGATAGTAAATGCGTCGCATAGTACTCCAGAAACTAGTTCATCTAGTTCAGATGGAGAGTGGAATGCAACTTTACAAAATCATAATCGTGAAAACCGAAAACTTAGGCCACGTATTATTGATTATGAGAATGTATTTATTTCATAGTTATTCAGATGAAGAATTCAAAAGTCATTTCAGGTGCATGCTTTTCTATCACATATTACACTGTAAATTTTGAAAATGTCATATCTAATTGCACACTTAGATTATACTCTAAATTTATGCTAGTCTTAAATTTACTTCATTACGTGTAAGTAATTATTCCATTAATTACTCATGAGATTGAATAATGGAATAAGTTAAGAAATTAGAAATTAATTATGAATGGCAGATAACATTTATGTCATATTTCAAAAATTGCGCCGAAATATTAAAGTTCACTTCGACCCACCTTTTCAGATGGGTCGTTGGGAGCTTGCCGTGAGCAAAACTAATGACGTCATGAGTGACGTTTTCTAGGCTACCACAACGACCGCAGTCATTATGTGGAACTGTTACATAGGAGCATTTTGATCATTGTGAGCGCTTAATGGAACGCACAGACGAACGCATTTGGATTCATTATTGAGATACAGTTTGAATTGTGCGTCCAAGCACTGAATATTCATGCCACATTTTGGCATTATGCCAAAAGGTGGCATTATTCATGCATCACGCATTATTATGCGAAAATGTGGCATGATTCATGCATGTGGCATGATTCATGCATGTGGTATGATTCATGCCACATTTTGGCATAATACAGTGTATTATGCCAAAATGTGGCATTAACTTTTCCTCTCAGTAACCTAGCGACGAATTATTTATCAAACTGTCAATGACAACTTGAAATACGTGACGACAGTGAAATTTTTAATCTGTGATTGAAAAACGCTAAATCAACGTAAGGATCGGACTTTTCATCCCGCAGTGGAAAAAAATCGTATCCGCGCCACGGGTGAAAAGTACAGCAGCCTTTCGCGGGCGAGAATGCCGTACATTTCTCTCTAGGTGCGTAATATACTATTACTGCAAGTGAAGTTGCAAAATAGTGACATCTTCAAACACAACTGTGTAGATATGATTCGAATCTATACAGTTGTGTTTGAAGATGTCACTACTTTGAATGAGGATCTACTAACTGAAAGTTTGAACAGTTTAGAATTCTTTGATATGAATAATCCTGAAATTAGGTACACCTTTCTGGCAAAATACACTTTGGTTCAAGATGCAGATCACAACATTCAATTGTTTTGTTTTTAGTTTTTTGCTAGTCATTGTTTCAACACCAACAAATAATTGAAAACTGCATGGAATAGACTTCTTCATGAGAAGCAGGTTTCTTTGACTTCGGAATTCAAAAACTTGTTTAACAAATGTTTGAATAAATATGGTTATTCTGTAAAAAGGTAGATGCAGGAAGTATTATAATCCCTTCACGAAAATGCCAGCTGTAGGATTAGCGGAAAACTATAAAACCAAATATTTCGATTTTAAATTATGAATGGAACGACCTGTTGATGAAACTTAATAACATCATCCATGATCACAATTAAACAATTTTCACATTTTTTTTTAAAGTTCTGGACACGCTAAGCTAACACCATAGCTTCATCGGTAATGAAGCTACTGAGGTCAAGAATAATTCTGTTGCATTAATCATTCTCCGATAAAGAAAGATTTCACTGTTTGAAGAGGTTAAAAGCTAAAATATTTTTTGTGGTGATGATTGAATGCCAAGCTTTATCATGAAGAATTGTGTATACACATTTGCCAGCCATTACAAATGATATTTAGATAGTTAACTAGTTCAGTTATCCAATCATTTTTCTGAAAAAGGGGTTGGTTGGGTAACAGGATAAATTTTTTCTTAAAAAAACAATTGTATTCTTGCCGACGTTTCGAATTTAATTAAATTCTTCTTCAGGGCTCTGTAACAATATGCAATCTGTCTGTTCTGTTTTCTGTTTAAAATCTGTTTTTCCGTTAACCAGCTGTCGCACCACTACGAACGACAACCCTCAGAAGTCGAAACTTGTGTGAGCTAAGGATTAACCAGGTCTTACCTTTTAACGTGTGATTCCTAACACGGAACAACAATGTTTTTTATTTTTATTTTTTAAATACTTATCTAATATGTCTGATGGTTTTTAAAATAGTATCATCATCAACACGAAAAAACTACTTTTCGGTGAGTAATTTAATTAAGTTATTTAGATATATTATCGAATAGACGATGCTTTCCAGATCTCCGGAAATCTACTGTAAATTCTGCGGATCTATGTGTCCTTCTG